TTACCTTTTAGCTCCCTAGTAAGTCTGAAGAAGAGGCAGCTGTAGCCTTCGGGGAGGACCTAGCATGCTTGCTACTGTTAAGGCTACAGTCAGGCAGCTAATATCATCAGAGATATGAGAAGGATAAACTGTAGCTGGAAGTATATTCCAAATGACCCATGTATCAATTAAATTACAGAGACTAACCCATTAATTAGACAGGTTACCCTAGGCTCCCTTGGTCTCGGTAGCTTTGTTGGGGACAGTGGTGGCTCTTCAGCTGTCATAGGATAACATTTCATCATCTGTTGTCATAAAAAACAGTAGAGGCCTTTGGCTATTAGGCCCAGGTCTGAGAGATTTTTCGTGTAGAGCAAATTTGGAAAACTGGACTTATTTGACCAGGCAAATAAGGGAATCAAACCAGAAATGTCCAGTTTGGGCAGAGCCCTGGCAACAGGGGAAGTAAGGGTGAGTTTACCCAGTCGTGTTACCACAGGTCAGGTACAGCCACTATGCCCCTTCTATCTTTTTATGGATCCCTAAAGGGTTCCTGACAGTAGGGGGCACTTCTGTCTGTCATGGGAAACTTTCTGTTAACCATTTAAATGCCATGTTCAGCAGACCTCTGAAGAGTTTGAGGCTTATATGTCTACTAAGTAGACCCCATTTTAGGTTACACCTTGAAAATATATACAGGAGGCTGAATAAAACTTTTCAGTAAATAAACAGTTTACAAGTTAGTAGCTTAGATAAGGTTAGGATTTCACAGCATCATCCCTTTAAGTTTGAACCTTAACAAATTAATATTTAATTGAAAATTCATTTAATATAAAAATAAACCATAATCAATATGGAGATTCCTCAGGAAAATGGGAATCCGTCTGCCACAAGGCCCAGCAATTGCACCCTTAGGCATATACCCAAAAGATGCACATTTGCACAACAAGGATGTCTGTTCCACTACATTCATAGCAGCATTATTTGTAATAGCCAGAACCTGGAAGCAACCTAGATGCCCCTCAATTGAAGAGTAGAGAGAGAAAATGTGGTACTTTTACACAATGGAGAACTATTCAGCGGAAAAAAAACAATGAAATCCAGAAATTTGCAGGCAAATGGATGGCACTAGAAGAAACCATCCTGAGTGAGGTAATCCAGTCACAAAAAAAGAAACATGGTAGGTACTCACTCATTTATAGATTTTAGACATGAGTCAGGGGAGTGCCAGCATACAATCCCACTGCCAGAGAGTCTAGGAAACAGAACCTTCATCCAGCTACTGAGGAAAGCAGAGGCAGATACCCACAGACAAACACTGAACTGAACTCCTAGAATTCAGTGTCAGAAAGAGAGAACTGATGGGCAAAGGAGTTAAGAGTGGGCTGGTTTGACCCACAGAAACAGTTGACCTGAACAAGGGTGAGCTCTTGAATGTGGGTGCCAGTGTGGAGGCCTAGGTAATCTATGGGGCCTTGGGTAGTATTCACCACTGGTGTACAAGTAGACTTTGAGGGCCCATGCTACAATATGGGAGGCTCTCTCAGCTGAGACTATTGGGGGAGGGCCTAAGCCCTGCTCTGGATGAAATGCCAGTTACTGGAGATCCACCATGGAGGGCCTCACCCTCCTTGGTGATCAGAGTGGAGATTGGGTTGGGGACTGGTGGACCTGGTGGGGACGGCTGGAGAAAAGGGGAGGGAGAGAGACCTGGGATGGACATATGAAACAAGATTGTTTCTAACCTAAATAAAAAATAATTGAAAAAAGAAAAAAATCATTCTAAGTTGAATAAATATTTCACATGTGTGCCAAGGTAAAATAAAATAAAATAAACCATAAATTCATTTCATAGAGAGTCTGAGAACTTTTCTGATCCTCTTAAACTACTGTTGTAACGTAAAAAGCAGCATTCAAGAGAAAGACACAACGGGACAGAGCTTGGGTGGAGGGTTTTTTATTGGGGGAAAGTGAATGGGAAAAGGGGGAACAGAGAGAGACCAGCCTCTGTGGAAAGGAGTGGCAGAAGAGAGGAGAAGAGAGAGGCAGAGAGAAAAAGAGGAGACAGACAGATGGAGACAGAGAGACACACACAGAGGGAGACAGAGAGAGACAGAGACAGAGAGACAGAAAGACAGAGAGAGAGAGAGAAAATACAGAGAGAGAAAGGGAGAGTGAGAGAAAGAGAGAGAAGGAGAGAGAGACAGACAGAGAGAGAGAGATCTGTCTCTTCAGAGAAATAGGGTTAAAACGACCTTTGCAGCAGGATACTGCCTGCCAGGCTTGCAGGGGTGAAGCACTTTTGAAATTCCCCAAGGAGTAGTGTTTGGTTGGCATGGATGATAACATTCCTCCCTATTCTATTTATTAAAAAGGAGAGCAGTTAGGCATGGGAGGTTAGGGGAGTGACGACACTGAGTTCTCGGGAGACAGCTTCTTGACAAGCTGGAGGCTTTGACCACCCTTAGGGGACCTGAGAGAGCTGGGACACTGGCCGAGCCCTGGGGTAGCTGGATGTCTCACTGGTGTCCAGGCTGTGTGGAACCGGCCAGTGTCTCTTGAACCTGGCAAGATTCTGGAAGAGCAGAGCACAAGGTTCAGTTTAGGTAATTTTTTTCTTCTTTTAGGTCCTGGAGATTGAAGGAGAAGGGAATCACAAATGAGGGAGGGGATCTGGGGACCAGGGAAAGTTACAGAGGCTTAGACTGTTGATTGACAGTACCTATCTGGAGTGCCTCCATACACTTAGAGTTAAAGCTAGCTTGCACTCATGTGTAGAGAATTAAATCCAAACACCATGCACACACAGAGATGTATTAAACAAGTAATGAATAAAACCTATTAGGTCAGACAAATGATTAGTCTTAAGTTTGTCCTTAGTAAAAAATGGTGATTTTCCTCATGATCACCCTTAGTAAAGATGGCAGTTAAGTCATCTGACCTGTTTATGTTTGCCCTTAGTAAAGATGGCAGTCAAGTATCTCTTTAACCTCAAACAAAATGGCATTGATCCATGTGATCACCCTTGGTAGGGTCACATGGTAGGAAAACACACATACAGGGGACAGACATTCAGAATCACACTCCACTGGCCACACCACACACAATTCTTCCCCCCCATAGGTATGAAACAGACAGAAAACGAAAAACTCTTCCAAGCCAGATGCTGCTCAGGCCAGTGTGAGGCTATCTGGGGCCAGGATTCCCTTACTGCATTTTGAAGGATTTCCAGGTTCATTGAAGTGACCGGATGACCTGAAATCCTACACTTATACGTTAGTGATGACCTTGAAATACTCTACGGATTCAAGAAGGTCATTGCCATGTGCTGGCCTATTTGTACATTCCACATAACTGTCCTGACATCCTCCTAACTGAAATTCAAATACATACTTGAGAGTTTTGAAGAATGGAGTTAGCATAGTACAGCTTTGTCCATCCCTTATAATATTAAGTTTTTAAATTCATTCCTCTATTTATTAGATTTTAATGTCTTCCTTAGGAGACAGGGTTTCAGTGTGTAGCCCAGGTTGATCTTGAACATGGATACCTGTGATAGGAATAGCTCCTGCTGCTGCTATTAGTGATATTATGACTCCTAGTCTGTCAGAAAGAAGGATTGGAGTGAGAATGTAAGAAAGATGAATGTTTGGACAATGGCAGAAACACTCTGTAACTGTATGAGTGAATGTAGACAATAGAAGACATTGACACCTGATCCAACCATGGAATTGAGAACAAATGTAATTCCTGTAAAAACAGGAATCTACCCATCTCTGGATGGAACATCAGACCAAAGCCTGAAGTGGCTGGCTGCCAACAGGACAGAACAGCACGGACAATGGACAAGCACCCTCAAATGCCTGCAGTCATAGGATTACATGACTTGGCATACGGGTTTGTTGGAAGAACATGGATTAAGAACCAGCAAGATGACTCAGGTGTAAAGGGAATTCGTGAAAGCCAGAGTGGAAGGAGCAACAGTTGTGCACAAAGGCCTCACTTGCCTCCACACAGTCTTCAACTCTCAGAGAGGCGATGGAGTTAACACAGCACAAATGATTCTGAAAGACTCTGAGTCTTTATTATTCTATCCAAGTTTACTCACAATTAGTACAAATCAAATGCCCACTCTGGGAGAAGTTGCATAACCATAAAAATGATTAATTTGCAGAAAGATGCATTTAAGTTGTAGCTCAGTAAAAACTAATTTTAAGTCAGAGATGGAAGTTTGTGTGCCAGTCCAGCCTCTATTGGAAGAGCAAGGATGATTCAGGAAGGAGTGAAGATCAGTGTGTGGATGGGACTTGTTGCTGCTCAGGGCAGGGCTGTGCTCATCACCTGGTTACATTGTACTCACAGGACAGACACACAGTGACAGTCAGATGCAGGAAGAGAAATCATCAGTTCTTGAGGCCACAGTGGGAAATGACAAAACAGGACAAATCCTGTTAGGCTCAGTCCAGATGTCTTATCCTGTAGAAGAAAAGAAAAGGAAGAAATTCAGATCAGTGTCTTAAATGATGACTTACTGAACAGCCCATCACACCTTCAAACTGTCCCAATCTCTAGAGTCCCCATGACCCAGGGATCTATCCTCAGATCTCTCCCTGTCACACAGCAGGCCCTTGAAGGTGCCACTTTTTAAAGCTGTAACAGAAGGCTGGACATCTTAGAAACTTGACCTCCAAGTGGAAAGTAACATAAGAGCAGATCTCAGAAGATGGAAATAAATGAGGAGGGATGGGCTGACTGAGAATCTCCATGACCTCCAGCCTATATACTGCTAAAGGTGTCTCAGGGATGAACCCCCACTGTGAGAAGTCACAAGCCTAGATATAGCTGCCTTATTTTTTACCCCTGGGTAAAATCCCTTGTATTAGAGCTCAGGGAAGCATCAGGATCTAGAAGACCTCAAGAATCTCCTAGTTCTTACCTCAGGGAAGTGTTAAGAACTGAGACTGCAGATCAAGACAAAGATGATTAAGCACAAAGGAAAATGGAACAGGAGGAGGACTTACTGTACTCCTGCATATCTGTTCTCAGTAGGAACCTTTCCATCTGACCACTGAGAGCTGAGGATCCGGTCGCTGCCCCCTCTATCACTGCAGTGATGAATCTGTTCATTATTTCCTTTATGCTTCACAGTGATGTTAATGTCAGCTCATCAGCACAAGACAGAATAGGCCTCTGTGTGGGTTAAACTTTGGTCTCATGAGGGAGGGCACACTCTCAGCTGGGCTTGGTGTTCCCACAGAGACACAGACTCAGACCCTGCCCTTTCCTTACCTTTAGTCCTCCTCTTCCATATGAGCAAAGTCACCACAGCTCCCATGAGCACAGCTCCAAGAACCAGGCCAGTAACAATTGGGATGATGGGGACAGAGGGCTGAGGAGGCTCTGAGGGAAGAAGGGAAGGAACAGTGAGGCCTCTGACCTCCAGCTGCCAGTCATGACCCTGGTTCAGTTCTCCCAAGAACCCCACTCTCTCTGTGATTCCTCTGTGCTCACATCTATCTACACCTTACCCCATCTCACAGTGATGGGCTCAGACAGCCCCTCATGATCCACATGACATGTGTATCTCTGCTCCTCCCCAGGAGACACCACCACAGCTGCCCACTTCTGGAAGGTGCCATCTCCTGCAGGCCTGGTCTCTATCACCTCCACATCCAGATTCTGATTGCTCCCATCCCTCTGCCAGGTCAGAGTGAGCTCAGCATGGTAGAAGTTCAGGGCCCAGCACCTTAGAGTGACATTCCCATCAGCTCTGACTTTGTGGTTCACATGTAATTTTGGGATGTCTGAAGGAATAAATGTAAAGATTCAGGTATTTTTCATTTTTAATGGATGCCCTTCCGTGTGAATGAAAACTGCTTTTGTATGGAAAAGACAGACCCCCTATGGAAATAAGGATGGGTAATCTACCCCTTGGAATGTTTCAGAACCAGCATTAGCGAGCACAGAGCAAGAGACGCTGGATCTCCCTCTAGGAATATGGACTTATGGTTCTCACTGGATAGGTCTTGAGACTCAGCCACACTGGGGTCAGAACACTAAATACATGGACAGTGAACAGGCCTTACTGAGGTCAGATTCAAAATGATAATGGAAGGGAACTGCTACTTAAAAGGCAGACTGAACTTTCCAGAGAGAAAGCTTAAGTCTCTGGTGAGTCCCTCTCTTGTTGAGTTAGGGAACCCATGCCACCCTTCCCGTTTCATGAAACACCAAGTTAGTGTTCCAAATTCTCCCTGCTGAGGAAGAATCCTCAGGAGACAGAGGCTCCAGTCTCAGTGAGGGTGAGGCTGTTTCTTCCCTTACCTGTTCTCAGAAAAAACTCCTTCCCATAGCTCAGATGAGTGAGGACTGCATTCATACATCCACGTTCCAGGTTACTCTTCATCTGTTTTGCAAAACTTTTCTCCTCCCACTCTTGGATCAGGATCTCCGCTGCCTTGCCGACTGTAGTCCAGGTGCTCAGGTCCTCATTTAGTGCGATGTAATCATTGCCATTGAAGATCATTTCAAATCGTGCACGGATGTAGTTTGATCCAGGCAGCACATCACATTCTATCAGGAGCTGCACTGTGTGATATCCTGTCCAAGGCCCCTCCTATCAGCCACCCTCACAGGGTCAGGTTCCTTAGGACCTACTGTGGCACAATCCCTCCCACTTGGCCTTAATAAATGACCACATTTGAGCATAATTTGTACAGAAAACCAGGTCAGTGTACCCAGGTTCTCTGTAGACTAGTCTACATGGGTCTCATTTTACTGGGGTGAATCTCAGACATGGGGAACTGGAGCAAACATTTTGGCGCTGTGAAATTTGTGATTTCTGATTCGGCTCCACTCACCGGTTTCATTTTGATTATAGATGTGAAGCACTCTCTTAAGTTGGCTCTTGTGGAAGTCTCTTAGAATCATTATGCTAACGTTCGTTTGCTGCCAGTACTCTGGCTGCTGCTGATTCAGCCAAGGTGCACAGTGCTCCAGCCTAGGATTCTCTGCTCTGCTGTTGAATCTCTCAATAAGAATGCCATCCAAGTAGAGACAATGGACGAAGTGGGGCTCCCGGAGATCAGGCCAGGTGAGGAGAGTTTGCAAATAGCGCAGGGAGTGTGAACCTAGGTTCAGTGGGCTTTTAGACCCTGACCTCCCACTTAGTGTCCTATGTTGCTCCCCACAGTCCTCCCAGGAAAGAAGGAATCAGGAGTCAGGGGACAGGATGTAAAAAAAATAAGGAACCAGAAGGTTCTGGCTGAGCTAGGGGATAGGCAGTCTTTCCTATGCTGAGGCCACAAGGGTCGGTGGTAATCCATTTTTTCCTAGGTTAGGTCCTTTCCCTCCTGACACCCATACTCACCCTCTAGATGCCTGGTCATGGCAAGGTTGCCCAGGATCAGCAGGAGAAGAGCCTTGGGAACAATGGTCTTCATTTTGCTTGAAGAGTGGACACTGAGTCTCTGCTTGCCTGTGTTCAGTTTATAATCATGATATGGAGAAGGCTATTGGCTTCTCTAAGAATTCCCAATGGTACTGATAGAGAGCATGGAAAAATGAACTCCTGGAAGAGAAATCTCCAGGGCCCTGCTTTCCCGGCTCTGACTCACACCTGGGAGCTTGGATCCTAGCAGCAGTGTATGTGGTTGGTTACCCCGATCTTTGTCCACCTCATTCTGGCCAAAATATCCTTTGAGTCCAGCCCATCGGCCATTGTGTCAGCAAGTCTCCCCCTGAGATAGTACATGTCTGCAGAGTCTTGGAAATGAATTGACCATCAAAGGCATTAAGCTTGTGTGGATTATGTCAACCCATGGCCCCTTCATTAGAAACTGAGAATGTTGGCAGGCAGAGGCAGATGGATCTCTGTGAGTTTGAGACCAAGTCTGGTCTACCAAGAGGGTTCCATTACAGGCTCCAAAGCCACAGAGAAACCCTGTCTCAAAAAAAAAACTGAGAATGTTAAACATTTGTTTCCTTGAACATGAATGATAAAGTGCATGCACATAGAATGTTTGCCAAAAGGAACAATTGTTTTCCAAAATGCAATGAAATGGTGAAACTAACAAATGTTTACATATCTGTCTGCTCTTATCCTATACTTTTTACTAGATAACCCTTTTACTTGTTTTCTTATTTTACTTTTCCACGTTTTTTTGTGCAGTGTAGACAAAGCATTGTTGCAAAATTGTACAGATAATATAGTTTTCAGATTTATTTTTCTTGTTAAGCTGTATGTTTGTTCCTGTATGCGTGAATGTTGTGAGTACAGAAGTCTGTGGAGGGGTGAAAGATACTTAGTAACTCTGAAAAATGTGGGACAGGAGGTTGTGAGCTCCCAGACCTCTGGGACTCCAATTCTGGTCATCTACACAGTTAAGTCATCTCTCCAATCACTGGGGAAGCAGAGGGAGTGTTTTTCATTAATATCTTCAAGTCATTTAATTCTTTTCTTTTTTCTTTAGTACTGGCCTCACTGAAGATTTTTATCTTGGATACTTCACTAGGCTCATTCAGGTATTATTTAGACTCTGGAACTTAGTCTATTGTCATATCTTTCATAGTTTGTTGCATCTATGTCTATAGGATAATCAAATTCTTTAAGCACATTATTTGTTGTTAAATTTTAATTTCTAATATGGAGTTTTATTGACCATGTTCATCAGAGTGCATATTTTTAAATGAATCTTTATCCTAACTGAAGGGTAGACATTTAGTGCAGAGGATTACTTATTCAGTTTCCAGTTCTGTTCTCCAGGATGAGGCTGACTGCCTTCTCTAAGAATTCCCAATGGGAGTGAATAAAACTGATGGGTCTTGGAAAGATTAACTACGGGGAGAAAAGTTGCCACAGCCCTACATCAGCACTGTGTATCTATCTCTGTGCCCTGGTATCCTGTGAGCAGTGTCTGGGGACAAGTTGCTTACCTTGATTCCTGTAATTGCCTTCTTGACAACATCCTTCTGAGTCCTAGACCAATGCTGATCTGGCTGACAGGATCAAGGAAGGAGAGAAAAGCAAAGGCCTATGTCTCTCACTGAAGTGTCCAGCTCTGGTCCCTGACCTACGGGTTCCCCTGGCCTCACTGGTATGTCATGGTCCCTTCCTAGCCAGCTCAGTCCACCTTCGATAAGCCTTGACTTCCTGGTGATCTCATCTCACAGGGGTTGGAGGGAGGCAAGGAAATTAAGATGGGAGCTGGCTCCTGGGTCAGTGGTCATACAGTTCATGTCCCCAAGAACACAGAGGAGAAGAGACAGGATCTGAGGAGGATAACGTGCTCCTGACAGAACTCTGATGATTCCCAGCTCAGACATCAGCACAATATCTCCATAGGACACCAGGCTGACCCCTCCACAGACATCTAAGCCCAGGCACTGAGCAAAGTACTCTGGACACCCATGGAGGACATTCCAAATGACATCATATTACCCAACTAGGAAGTGCATTGGCCACAATTTCATATCTCGGTGACTTAGGGGGCAGGTGTCTGCCTTCTTTCCTATGCCATACACACACATACCTTTATTAGTTCTGATCTTTCTTAGGGACAGATGTGGGGGTTGTGGCATGGGGGCCTTCCCATGTCTGTATACTTGTAGCTTGCCAGTGTGGGAAATGGGAAGCAGCAGGCAATCTGGATGAAGCTTACACTGGACAGGATGTCTCACATAGCCACACACTCGAGATTTCCACCAAAACCACATGCAGTCTTTCCTTCTCAAAGCAATCTTTTAGGAGATCTGATTTTCAGATTTACTCCTCTGTTAGTATTTTAGAATCTGTCAAATGCCTGGCCTTCTTCCAGGCCTTGGGATCCAGCAAAAGAAGCAGACAAAATCACTACCCTTACAAGGGAAGACTGGCTTGGTTGCTCATACTGCTAACTTCTCTTGCAGTGGACCTGAGTTCATTTGAAAAATTCCTCAGAGGGTCACTCACAAACCCGTGTTATTATGGATGTTAGGTAGTTAATGCCATCTTTTAGACTTCACGGGTACCTCCAATTGCTTGGCATGTAGTCCTCCCACACAAATATATACAGAAGTCAAAACAAATGACTAAAACATAGTTCCCTCTCTGAAATGAAATTTCAGGGTAGCAGTGAAGTTGCCCAGTATGCCCTAAGTTAGTTTGCGTTGGTGTATTCCTGCGACAAATATCCATGGCCAAAAGCAACCTGAAGAAAGAGTTTGCTCCATATGACAAGTGTCAGGTCACATTCCATCACTGAGGAAGTTAGTGCAGGCACTCAAGGCAGGAACGTGAAGCAGGGACGCCCTCGGAGGAATGCTGCTTCTGGCTTTGAATGAAAAAAACAGAAATAAAAATGAAAGACTTGACTACTCCCAGGTATGGCGGAGGAGGAAGCTTAACGTGGACAGGAGGGAGCATAGTCAGAGACAGGGAAGCCCAGAGAGGACATGAGCAGACTGAGCTAGACGAAGAGGCCAGGCACATAAGGGGCAGATCAGAAAGATCAGGAAACCAAACAGGTTAACGGCCAATGTTGAAGAAACAGCACAGACACTGGACAAGACCCTACAAATGCCTGAGATCTTCTGATCACATATTCTGGTGAACATGTTTCTTAAAGGAACTGGGAGTGGGAGCTAGCAAGATGACAGAGAGGGGAAGCGAATATGAGAAAACCCTGGGTGAGTGGAGAGACAGTTGTGCAACCTCAGGCCTCACCTGGCTCCACACAGACTTCATCTCTCATGAGAGGCAATGGGCATCTCACAGAGCACATGACTCCTAAAGGTTCTAAGACTTTATTTTCTCCATCAAGGCTTATTCATATCCACTACATTAAATGGGGAGTGAGTCCCAAGACCAGGAAACTTGAGACGTTCCATATGTGGAGTGAATCTGACATGCTCAGGTGGGTCCAATCAACTCCCTGGAGCTTACGAGGATTTTTAAGTTTGCAAAAAGAGATGCATTTTAGACGCTTTAAAATACAACCAGGGGGAATTTAAAATCCTGAGCCTGTGGCTATGACAATATAGTGGGTGCAGTCTAGTGGGTAGTACTGTGCCACAGCTAGATTAACAACCAATCAGAATTCTGTCAGGTAGTGTTTAAGTTACAGACTGTCACAAAGCAAAAAAGAGGAATCTGGAATATATTTCATTCTTTTATATTCCTCATATCACTTCCTTCTTCCGGCCACTTAAGCTTTCCTATCTTGACATAAACAAACCCGAGAGCACCTGTTCCTTCCCCGTCATCATGGCATCACCGTGACACTCAGGAGACACAGACGTTTGATTGCCAAGGGCAGTCAGCAATACAGAGCTGTGTGAAATCTCTTCTGTGAGTCTACCCTTAGTTTGGGGGTGTGGCTATGTCTGTGATGTTGTTTCTTACCACCTAGGCATGATTGACAGTCCTTATGCCTCCAGCTCTGTGGCTAAAGACTGGTCGTCCTGGAACAACAGCTTATTAGTTCAGATAGAGATTTTGAATGTGTCCTTGGAGATGCTAGGAAGGAGACTGATGAAGCAGGGTGAGATTAGGAGAGATGGGAGAATGTGGAGACCGGTCGGGAAGGAAAGCCTCTAGAACCCCCAATATGGTAAAGTCGAGTACAGTGGTAGGATGAATGCTCATTCTTCTGGAATTGGAGAGAGGGCGGTTGATCTCAGCATCCTCTGCAACTTAAGGGTACAGGGCCCTATTGGGGTTCTGTTAGTGAGGAAAGATTATCTTGACCTGGGGTATAAAGAGTTTGAGGTGGGATAAGTGCATCCAATGAGGGAAGCCCTAAAGTTAGCTGTGAGGATCACAAGAATTAATCTGAAGAATCCTTGCCATTTAGGGGAAAGGGGTGAGGGGCCTGGGTCTGGAGGAGAGAGAAGGATCCTATGCCTGATATTGATTGGGGATGGACAGGTTAGGAAGTGATCTGTACAGTTCCACAGGAAAGAATGGGGAGGCCAGAGTAGAGAGGGGGTGAGTAGGTGATGAGGGAGAGGCCTGGGTCTTGATGGGAGACTGGGGATTAGAACCAGCCACGCATACATGATTTCAAAGGGCAATATTGAAAGGGTTGATTTGGGGAGAGCCTAGAGTCTGATAAGAGCCAGAGGCAAGAGCTTTACAAATCCAAGGTGATGTTCCTTGTGACATTTTTAACAAGAATGCCTTTTTAAGGAGCAGTTAGTTCATTCTTTCTTTCCTGAGGACTGAGGGTGATAAGAGATATGAAAACTGCAAAGGAAGTTGAGAATTTCAGATTAGGGTTTGGGAGACCTGAGAGGTGAATTCAGGACCATTGTTTGACTGCAGAAAGGTGGGGACTCGGAACCAGGGAATATTCTCCCATAAAGGAGGTCAGAGACTGTGTGAGCTCTTTAGTCACTGGTGATGAATGCTTCCACCCATCCAGAGAACATGTCCACTAGAACTAGGAGATACTTAACTTGTCCA